GAGGCTGAGGGAGGCTGGGGCAGAAGAATTGCTTGAGCCTGGTGGGAGACAGAGATTGCACTGAGCCAATATTGTGCCACTGCACTCGAGCCTAGGCAACATGAATGAAACCCTATCTCAATAAAATTATAGGACTTTGGTTTTTGGGGTTTTTTTGTTTTGTTTTTTGTTTTCTTGAGGCAGAGTGTCACTTGGTCTCCAGGCTGGAGTACAGTGGCATGATCTTGGGTCACTGCAATAGCCGCCTCCTGGGTTCAAGCAATTCCCCTGCCTCAGCTTCCCGAGTAGCTGGGATTATAGGCAGGTACTACCACACCCAGCTAAGTTTTTGTATTTTAGTAGAGATGGGGTTTCACTATGTTGGCTATGATGGTCTCGATCTCCTGACCTTGTAATCCATCCACCTCAGCCTTCCCAAGTGCTGGGATTACAGGCATGAGCCACTGTTCCCAGCTAGGCTTTGGTTTTATATGAGGTCTTCAGGGAAACCACATCCAAGTTTTCTACTATGTGTCTCTTTAAAAACAGTTAAAATAATAGTATGATTTTTTCCTCATCAGGAAAAAGCTGATTTTATAGTTAGACAAATGTATTTACTAAAGGAACATATTTTGCAAAAAACAAGACATCACACTTACTAATACACCTCCATTATTTAAAAAAAATCACAAAAGTATCATTTCAGTCCATTTAAGTATAATTACTGCTTTTAATAAAGTTAAACTCCTAGAGAATCATTAAAGAAGAAAAGCCAGGGGCCATGAGCTAATTCAGCACCAGTAATTAGGTTTTAAAATTGGCTTTAAGTAAATAACTCGTTCTTAATTGCTTTTGTTCCTTATATATAAAACATAAATAATAATACTTATCCATACTTGGTCACAGAATTGACATGATGATAATGAGATAATAGAGTGGATAGAACTCCAAAAAGTTAACAGTACCATAAGGTAGAGTTTTAGTGTCAGAAATTGTATTTTACAATAATGTACATGGAAAATTCTTTATTTTATAATGATGGAAATATTCTAACAGTTTTAAACATAACCCAAGAAATAGCAGAAAAGAAAGTATACTAAAGGACTGAACTTTTATATTCAGATTACCAAAGCTCAAAATATACACAAATATGTGTATATTTTAAGGCTTACAATTTATAAACACTCCAACTATTAATAATAATGTATTAAGGAATTGTAAGTGGCCCTGTACGTAGGCGTTGTTTTTGGGAGGCCTAAGAAAGTTAATTATATTAACAACTACATTATTATTATAATACATTATAGCAGATGTGTTCTGTGGAGGTTTAATTTTGATGAAGGTGGAAAATGGGAGCTGGTTCTTAGATACTTGGCATCTTTGTGTTCTTTTTTTTTTTAAGACATGGTCTCGCTCTCTTGCCCGGGCTGCCGTGCAGTGGCGCGATCATAGCTTACTGCAGCTTCCTCCAACTGGGCTCAAGTGATCCTCCTGCCTCAGCCACCCGAGTAGCTTGGACTACAGGCACATGTCACCATGTCCAGCTAATTTTTAACAATTTTTTGTGGAGATGAGGTCTCACTGTATTGCCCAGGCTGGTCTTGAACTCTTAAGCTCAAGTGATCCTCCCACCTCAGCGTCCCAAAGTGCCGGGATTACAGGTGTGAGCCACCTGGCCTACATTCTCCTTTTTGTTTCAATAAAGACATTAAAATTTTAGGCCAATTTGAGTTAAAATTTTATTACAACTGCTTTCAATTAAATTAGCTTCATAATCTGTTGATACTGCCAAGAAGCCAGAGTAACGTAAAGGGGAAAGAGTAGGATTTTGTGTCAGATTGTGTTTGAATTATTACTCAGCTACTCACTGGGTATTTAATTTCTTTGACCTTCAGGCTGGGTGCAGTGGCTTATGCTTGTAATCCCAGAATTTTGGGAGGCCCAGGTGGGCAAATCACCTGAGGTCAGGAGTTCAGGAGCAGCCTGGTCAACATGGCTAAACCACATCTCTACTAAAAATACAAAAATTAGCCAGGCCTGGTGGCAGGTGCCTGTAATTCCAGCTGCTCGGGAGGCTGAGGCAGGAGAATCACTTGAACCCGGGAGGCGGAGCTTGCTGTGAGCTGAGATCATGTCATTGCACTTCAGCCTGGGTGACAAGAGCGAAACTCCATCTCAAAATAAATAAGTAAAATTGAATTATTTTTTTAAAAATAATAATTTACTTGACCTTCAGTTTCTTTATTTGTAGAAAGGGCATGATATCTCTCTACTTCTAAAGGTTATCGTGAATATTAAACAGAATATTTGTCAACTGGGCACGGTAACTTACACCTGTAATTCCAGCACTTTGAGAGGCTGAGGCAGAAGATTCACTTGAGCCTAGGAGTTCTAGATGAGCCTGGGCAACATTGCAAAACCCTGTCTCTACCAAAAGTACAAAACTTTGCCAGGTATGGTGGTGCATGCCTGTGGTCCCAGCTACTTGGAAGACTGAGGTGGGAGGATCACCGGAGTCCAGGAAGTAGAGGCTGCAGTGAGCTGTGAGTGTGCTACTGAATGCCAGCCTAAGTAACAGAGCAAGACCTTGTCTCAAAATAAATAAAAATTTTTTGAAAGAAAATTTTTTTTAAAAAGTTATGAATCTACCTCAGTGACTGGGATATTATTAGATGTTGAAATAAAGTTATTGACCACTCTCCCATACTTGCTAATATATAAGTTGTGTCATACTGGTTTCCTCTTATGCAATCTCTTGAGGGGGAAGAAAAAATCAGTGACTATCATGCTTTTCTTGAAACTCCATATATAGCTGGGATGCTATTCCTGCACTAGTGATGTTTTATATGGCATCTTATAATATTGTCCACAAAAAATGACATTTCAGTAAATGGACAGGAATCATAAGTTCATTGTTAATAGATGAATGCATTAGTTATAGAAGTTGTTACCTTTCTGTAGTCTTGGGATTCAGGTTTTCTTAATTCACACCACCCGGGTTTAGAAGGCCTTATTACCATTGATTAGGATAAAGAACATCTCTGTTGCGTGGGATTCATAGAGCCTAAGAATTCAGTTTGGGGTTCTTTAGTTGGTCTTACTTAAAATGTACAGCTTGCTTAGATAGGAGGAAGACTGAAGTTGCTCTAGGTAGTTGAAAGTCCCTTTTAAAAATAATTGCTACTCTAAAGAGAAGGAGGAATTGAAAGTGGTTCATAGTAAATCATTGATTTCTTTTGTTTTGACATGAAAACAGAATGGACATTAGCAGCTACTGTATATGAAGGGCATTTTGCCTGATAGAAGTATATTTTCTTTTTTGTTGAGATCGAGACTTGCTTTGTTGCCCAGGCTGGAGTACAGTGGTATGATCTCGGCTCACTGCAGCCTCCACCTCCTGGGTTCACGTGATTCTTCTGCCTCAGCCTCCATAGTAGCTGGGACTATAGGCACACGCCACCATGCCTGGCTAATTTTTGTATTTTTAGTAGAGACATAGTTTCACCATGTTGGCCAGACTGGTCTCAAACTCCTGACCTCAAGTGATCCACCTGCTTCAGCTCTCAAAGTGCTGGAATTACAGGCATGAGCCACCATGTCTATTACAAGTATATTTGCATGGGTTTAATCCTCACAGTACATCTATGAGGTAGATTGGTAGTATTCTCTTTTTACAGAGGAAGAAATTGGGTCTTAGAGAAGTTAATTTTAAATAACTTTCATGAGGTCATATAGTAACAAGTGGCAGAGCTGATATTTATTATTAATCAACTATTTTTGCTGTTTGTATGTGTAAGGGGTGGTATTTTTGCTTTTTTCATATTTTCTTATGTGTAAAATGTAAAAATATTAGCCATCTACATCTAAATGTAAAAATGACATTTTGTTTTAGTTAGAAAACCAGTTTTCTTTTGCTTTAGTCAAAAAGCCATAAAAATCATATTTAAATAGAATCAACTACTGTTTTTTAAGATAAATGAGATTTGAACCCAGATTAATTTGTTTCCAAAGCTTATGCTAGACTTTGGAGAATACAAAGATGAATAAAACCCTTACTCATCTTGTCGATCTTGCAGACTAATGGAAAAGATTGACATGTGAGTTCATGTAGTACTCTGTTAAAAGTTAGATAGGATTCCAGACGGGAATGACAATGCTGGGGAAGATTTTCCAAAGGAGGTAGCCTTTGAGTGAGTCAGATAGTGAAAAGTGAAATGGTGCCTGGTGGAGAAGGCGTATATAGGCAGTGACAGAGTGACAGGGTATGGAGCTAAAACCAGTCTTCAGTTTAGAGTTTTTCTCTGTAGGGAATTAGTAAGACATTTTAAAACAGAAAGGAATGGAAGAGTCGAATAACGATGATGGTAATAGTTTAAGAAGCATTCTGGGCCAGGTGTGGCTCACACCTATAAACCCAGCACTTTGGGAGGCCAAGGCGGGTGGATCACTTGAAGTCAGGAGTTTGAGACCAGCCTGGCCAACATGGTGAAACCCTGTCTCTACTAAAAATACAAAAATTAGCCATGCATGGTGGCCCATGCCTGTGATCCCAGCTACTTGGGAGGCTGAGGCAGGAGAATAGCTTGAACCCTGGAGTCAGAGTTTCTGCTGAGCCAAGATTGCACCACTGCACTGCAGCCTGGGTAACAGAGTGAGACCCTGTCTCAAAACAAAAAGGCATTCCGAAGGACATGCCAAGGGAGGTTGATGGTTGGTGTTGCAGATACAGAGAACTGTAGCTGGTTTTTTTTCCACTTAAAGATCACTCAAATAGTGAAGGCTCGTTATTTACATGCAATCGCTTAGTCTAAGTGACATTATTAGTTAACATAATTCCATATATAAGAAAACATCTTCTAATTTAAACATATTTCCCATTAAAACCACCTCTTCAACTTTCATTTAAATCTTGTAAAGAGACATTTCAATATTTTTTTAGTGTGAATATTTTGGTAATTAGATGTAGTAGAAAAACAATACTTTGATGGGCAAAATGCTGTTCAAATGATCTTGAAATAACGAAGTTTTAAAACCAGTTTTTATTTACTTTTTATTTAGCAATACATGTTTATTAGAAATTTAAGAACGTAAGTAATGCAAAGTAAGGATTACCTTTAATCAATAAACAAAGATAAACTTTTGAAGGGAGTATATGCCATACCAGTCACTAAGTAAGGTTTTAATATTCAGATTCCAGAGTTCTGATCAATCAATGACTATATTTTACACATATTTAAATTAAGAAAAAGTTTTCTATCTTTACATATTTTAGTGACTGAATTACCATGGCATGATTGAGAGTTTGGATTTATTATAGTATACTGTGATTTCTATTTAATATGTAAGGTACCCAATTACAATTTTAGCCTATTTGATTAAATGCTAACAATATAGGTTGCCATTACTCTTGTCTTACTACCAATTAGCTATTTCTCAGAATGCTAAAGCAAGAAGGAACCTTAAAAGTCTTGTCTGGTTTATCTTCTCATTGTACAAATGTAGATGCTTTTCTTTCAAGCCTTTGTTTGTCATGACATATTAGGTTAGATTTTCTTTCCTTAAGCTCTCACTTGATTGCAGTCATCTCTCTTTCAGGTCAGACTGTTTTTCCATCTCTCAGCCAATGGTACAAAAAAAAAGGAAACTGAAGAGAGGAGATAGCATATGCCAGAGAAGTAGAACGAGCCGTTGTATGTCTGGGTATAATCATATAACCAACCTGGAAGGAAGGGATGATTTCTGTTAGTAAGGGAAATTTTTCCATTTGTGATTCTCAGCTATGAATTGTTCCTCAAATGAAGGAGCCTCCTGTATTGTGATCTGTTAGAAGTTAGTGAAGCTTCTTAGCTGTCCTATTTTTCACTGACGAAGTTGAATCAGCTCCACCCAAGTTAGGAACTTATACCATCTCCAATCTTACAGGGAATGTTGGCGAAAATTAGGGACACATACCATTTAATTTTACCATGAATTTTATTAGAAGACCCCTATTATGAAGAAATAATAATAAATTAACTGTTTTCCAAAGAAAAAGAGAACTAATTATTATCTTTTTTTTTCCTTTACTAAACAAACACTGAGTACTTACTATATTCCTGTTAATATTGCTAGGTGTTGAGGATACAATAGTGAGCCAAAACAGTTATGGTCCCTGCCCTCACAGAACTTACAGTTTAGCAGGGAGATAGGTACCAACCACGTAAATAAGTAACACATGTGATAAGTGCTGTGAAGGGAAGGTCCAGGGGGCTATGAGAAGGTTCTGACTGCCTGATACTTGAGTCTTGCTTTGTCACCCAGGTTGGAGTGCTGTAGCATGATCTCAGCTTACTGCAACCTCTGCCTCCTGGATTCAAGTGGTTCTCCTGCCTCAGCCTCCCTAGTAGTTGGGATTACAGGCACCTGTCACCACACCTGGCTCATTTTTGTATTTTTAGTAGAGATAGGGTTTCGCCATGTTTGGCAGGCTGGTCTCTAACTCCTGACCTCAAGTGATCCGCCCACCTAAACCTCCAAAAGCGCTAGGATTACAGATGTGAGCCACTGTGTGCGCTTGGCCCTAAATGCTTTTTAAAAGCGTAAGTTGGAGGGTCCTCAAAGTCTTTTGGCTAATGGCACATGCTAGAGTTTAATCGAGACCCTTTTTTAAAAAAGAAATCTGAGTGGGTGGTAGCAAAGAATATTTATGTAAGGCACATCGTTGGAAAAGAACATTGAAAAAGGCAAATAATATTTGTATTATCATGACAATAATTTTGGCCTCCTGGACTTCATAAAGGGTCTCATGGACCTCTGGGGGTCTGTTGACCTCACTTTAAGAAGTTCTTTTCTAGAGTATGTAGTAGGTATATTATATCGGATCACTTATTCAAGAAATTTCAGTGCTGTACGGCAGCACAGGTCTAGGTTTCAGGGATATATTCCTGAACAAAATAGATGACAATATCTGCCCTCATGGAGCTTACACTGTATCTTTGATTTTTCCCTTCTATCTTAGATCATGAGTGCCTCACTGGATAGGTAGAGTATACCCTCCTCCACCTTTTTCTTCTGGTCGGGTTGTCTCATCTCCTCTTTGTCCATAAGAGAACAAAGAGGAGATGAGACAACCCGACCAGAAGAAATTGACTTAATTTATTTTTGTTTTATAGCTCTCTGTTTCCTGTTGTTAATGTAAAAAATAAATGAATAGAATGTTTTAGCCTCTTAAGTTCAACTAACTTTAAGTTGCTTTTTACTTAATGACTCCTGTGTGATCAGTGACCTCTATTAAATGTTTCTTGGAGTTACTAGAGTGAAAACAACTAGGACAAGTCTTTGTGTTATGTTAATAGTTATTTACCTATAGATCTCTAAGAAATAGGTGACTAGCCTCTGAACTCTTCTACTAGACATTTCTAGAAAGGAGGGAATATGAAAGGTAGCAGTCCTTACCCTCCCAGTCCCTTGTCATTCTTGCCTTAGTCCCACCAGCACAGCAAATTTGTTAGAGTGTATGTGTCTATATATATAGATGTATATATAAAACCTGTGAATTATAAAATAATGGTATCAGAAGTAACACCCTGGGAAAGACTAGGAATTATTTGACACAGGTAGACAGTACTACTAAAATGTCAGGTAGCCCATAGCTTAAAGTAAAAATGAATTGAAGAGAAAAACCATTTGTAAGCCTTAAATTTATTTCTTTTCTTTTTAAAAAATTTCTTGTAGAGACTGGGTCTAAGTTGCTCGTGCTAGTCTCAAATTCCTGGTTTCAAGTCATCCTCCTGCCTCAGCCTCCCAAAGTGCTGGGATTACAGATGTGAGCCACCATGCCAACCAAGCCTTTCACTTTATACGCACACACACACTCATACTTACTCACTTTTTTTTTTTTTATTTTAGATGGAGTCTCGCTCTGTCACCCAGACTGGAGTGCAATGGCACAGTCTCAGCTCATTGCAATCTCCGATTCCTGGGTTCAAGCGATGCTCTTGCCTCAGCCTCCCAAGTTGCTGGGATTACAGGTGCATACCACCACACCCTGCTAATTTTTTTGTATTTTTAGTAGAGACAGGGTTTTGCCATGTTGGCCAGGCTGGTCTCAAACTCCTGATCTCAGGTGATCGACCTGCCTTGGCCTCCCAAAGTGCTGGAATTTTACTCATTCTTAAAGTCGCAATGCTGTTTCTGAAACATTAAGTATTTTTTTTTTTTTCTGAGATGGAGTCTTGCTCTGTGGTCATGGCTGGAGTGCAGTGGAACGATCTTGGCTCACTACAACCTCTGCCTCCCAGGTTCAGGCAGTACTCCTGCCTTAGCCTCCTGTGTAGCTGGGATTACAGGCTTGTACCACCATACCCAGCTAATTTTTGTATTTTTATTCGAGACGGGGTTTCACCATCTAGACCAGGCTGGTCTCCAATGCCTGACCTCGTGATCCGCCTACTTTATCCTCCCAGAGTGCTCTGATTACTGGTGTGAGCCTCTGCGTCCAGCTGAACATTAAGTATTAAAATATAATCATGTAGCACATAACAGGACAAACCTCATGAGGTTATGATAGGTATTTTTACTGTATTTTTCTATGTTTAGATACATGATTACTTTGTTTAGATACATATCTTTCTATGTTTAGATACATTACCTATAGTACTGAGCACAGTAACATGCTGTATAGATTTGTAGCCTAGGAGCAATAGGCTATACCATATAGCCTAGGTGTCTCGATATACTGTTCATATGATAACAAAATCATCTAACAACACGTTTCTCAGAATGTTTTCCTGTTGTTAAGTAACTCATGACTGTATTTAATATATTTTCTTACTGGGGCAGGGAATCATTCAGCATGTTTTAGAATTATTTCTATGTATTTCCATGCAAAATTAGGTGAAATAATTGTTGTAAATCTGTTTCTCCTGGTCATATTTGATCATTGAGATATTTTTATTTTTTAGATTCTAAATTAAGATCCAATTGCCATTCAGTAGGATAATAGTATACAGTGAGTATTTAGTTTTAGGATGCTACTTATACTAGCAAATTTCAGGTGAAATGTAGGATACAGAACTATACATACGGCTATTTTATGAAAGTATTAGCGGTTACAATCAAGCTTATCTTCAAGTGAATACTAGGTAAGCTAAATTTTGAGCTTCATTGGTATTGAAACATCTACTTTATTTGATTGGAATCACTAGCATTTCTCTACTGCTGAAAGTAAAAGGATTGGCCAGGCGCAGTGGCTCATGCCTGTAATCCCACCACTTTGGGAGGCTGAAGCAAGCAGATCACTTGAGCCCAAGAGTTCAAGGCCAGCCTGGGCAAAGTGGTGAGACCTATCTCTACAAAAAAGAAGTACTAAATTAGCTGGGTGTTGCCCAGGCATGATGGTTCTCACCTGTAACCTTAGCTCTTTGGGAGGCCAAGGTAGGAGGATCTCTTGAGCTTAGGAGTTCAAGATCAGCCTGGGGCAATATAGACCTTGTCCCTATTCTATCAAAAATTTAAAAAATATTGGAAAAGTGCTGGGCGTGGTGGCTCACGCCTGTAAGCCGGGAGGATGAGGTGACTGGATCACGAGGTCAGGAGATAGAGACTGTCCTGGCCATGGTGAAACCGCGTCTCTACTAAAATACAAAAAGTTAGCCAGGTGTGTTGGCACATGCTTGTAGTCCCAGCTACTCAGGAAGCCGAGGCAGAGGAATCACTTGAACCTGGGAGATGGAGGTTGCAGTGAGCTGAGATCGTGCCACTGCACTCCAGTCTGGTGACAGAGCAACACTCTGTCTCAAAAAAAGAAAAGAAAAGAAAAATATTGGAAAGGATAAAAAAAAGTTAAAGAAAAAAAAAGCCAGGTGTCATGGCATGTGCCTGTATTCCCAGCTACTCAGGTGGCTGAGTTGGGAGGTTGAGGCTACAGTGAGCTGTGATTGTGCCACTGACCTCCAGCCTGGGCAACAGAGGGAAAATGAATATCTGATTTTACTAGATCTCTGTATTTTTTTGATAACAGTATGAAAAATCTATTCAGATGCACTTTTGACCCTAAACAGTTTAATGCTTCTAAATAAATATTTTTAAAAGAAATTATTGTTGGTAGTTCAGAAGCCACTATATTCTAACCATTTAAATGGAAGCATATATATAAACTAACATTCAGAAGACTAGATTTCTCTGTGGTTATAGCATAAGCATTGTGAATGTCAGAGAAAGACAAGATTACATACTAGTTATAATCCAGGATTAGGTTCATGTATCTGAATGTTCATTCCATGCTGGGTATTACTGTATATAGCCAGCACCCTGAGGAATAAACTGACAACTGATGCAGAATTATTAAGCTGAAGACCTCTGTAAGCATTTCCTCAGTGTCTACAGGCTGCCTGCATCAGATTTACCCAAGAGGCATGTTCATAATGCAGATTTGTTGGATTCTGTCAAGTATAACTTCATCATGGGTGGCACTCAATTGATTCGTATATACACAGTAAGATTATTATTTAACAGTAATAATTATTATATTTGAGTTATCCCAATTCTTTTCTTATATCTATGGCTATAGGACTTGGTTTAGGCAGAAATGTCTAATAATGTTTCCTGTGATAATTTAAAACAAATAAGATTGGGCTGAGCTTCCTTAAACACTTGTGCAAACTAGTTTTTTTATAGTCAGCAAAAAAGGAGTAAGAGCGAAACTTTGTCTCAAAAAAAAAAATCAAATTTGATATTTAA